CTGCCGTTTACTGTAGGTGTTTAGCATGGAACCGGCAAAGCAAAGCTATCCATCCCTTGGCAGACCGAATGACACGAGATAGCGCGCTCGCTGACATTTCCCTACATTTGTCAGCTCTGTGATCATTGCAGCAATGCATACACAAACGCTGTAAAAAGAATGCAGCTTATGTGCCAAACACCTCCTTTCACCTCCTGTCACCTCAAGGGTTATAGACATTTAGCAGTGACTGACAAATTACAGCCGGAAGTGGGTAAGAACACAGATACTGTAGCAGTCGGCATTGATTCAATCAGTCAAATGTTAGACTCAGACTTGTGGCAATGAGTTACTAAAAAGCTCTTTTTAAACTTAATTTTAAATGTAATTGTAATTGACATCCTTGATAAATAACACATTTTATAATTTTGTCATACTGTTTTTGTAGAGATGATTTCAAACATCTGTATCAGCCGATATTTGCCTTGTTGACTGCCATCAGCCTATCAGCATATTAGATGACATTCAACAATGGCACAGGCCGATGATTCTCTGTTTAATCACATTATTTTTTTGCAAGCTAAAAGCACACTCAACACTAACAATGTATTGTTGTCCTAGGATCAGTAAAAAATACATTTGGGATGAAGAGAGATCTTCCCCAGGACAAAAGGAACGCAGTAAACTCATAATGAACGTGTCAGGGGACGCACCCTATTTTTTCTAGGGGTGGGGTAAAAAATCGATTCTTACATGCATCGCAATGCGGACGTGGCGATTCGGCATCAATTCACAGATGTCAATAATCAGTTAAGTAAATGTTTGTTGATAACATGATGTCGACGGAACAAAAGAGGCGGAACTCAACCGCGAAGTCAGTGTTGTACCTGCACAGTCTACAGCGCAGACGAGCTAAAGTTAACTTGTACTAATTCATCTTCACAAAGACAGTGGTTGCAAGCTTCTTTTAATTTAGTGTCTAAATAATTATATTTGCGAGGCGAACATGAAGTATATTGTGAATACTTACTTACGCTACCACCCAGAGAACATTTACAAGAGGAGCAGCAGCATGTAAACCGGCTGACCAACACACGCTGCAGCATTAAAGGGAAATTTCAGTTTATTTCAACCCGTCTCCTATCGTCCTAAATTTGGTTCAAGTGACTAGGGACATAGAAATAATAGTTAGCATGTTAGCCGTTAGCCTAGATACAGCTGGGGTGCATAGTAGTGTCAGACCTGTTAAAATGTAAGTGAAAGGGCATACTTCAAGTGCAAAGTTAGTCCACTAAACAAGCTTTTTTTCCACAAAGACCGCCTCATATCATTAGGATAAATGTCAGAGAACATATAGAAAACGACATGTAAATGTGTTGTCTTACCTTACCGGTGTGCTGCCATGTTTGTTTATCCCTCTAGCTCTGCTTTCCAAAGCGCAGCCGAAATATATCTCGCCAGCTCTAGATAAAGCCCAGCTGGATACTAACGTTACTCTAGGTGGAGGTGTCTCGTCCTCGGTCACATCCAGACCTTGAAAATAAGGCTGCAACCGGTCCCATTCCTTGCAACAGAGGCATTCCTCTTCTGTGGGCACTGGGGCACAGCATTCACAGGTACACCACCAATCTCCAGAGCTATGCAGCCTTGCAGCAGCCATTCCTCCCCTCTCGTCCTCTAACGTTACCTGTTGCGCCTCTCTCTCTCCTCCTCCGTTCAGGCGCCCGTCCGGTTCTGCCTTCCAGCTGTTGCCACTTGTTCAGGCACACTATGAGATCGCTGCTTGTTCTCGCGATATTTTTCAGCCGCGCTTTGGAAAGCAGAGCTACATTGTAAACAAACACGGCACCACACCGGTAAGGTAAGACACCACGTTTACATGTCGTTTTCTGTATGTTCTCTGACATTAATCCTAACAATATGAGGCGGTCTTTGTGGAGAAAAAGCTTGTTTAGTGGACTAACTTTGCACTTGAAGGTTGCCGGTTCACTTACGTTTTAACAGGTCTGACGGTACGGCTGTATCTAGGCTAATGGCTAACATGCTAACTATTATCTGTATGTCACTAGTCACTTGAACCAAATTTAGGACGATAGGAGACGGGTTGAAATAAACTGAAATTTCCCTTTAACCAAATTTAAACACCTCTGTGGTGAAGAAAATGGCTCTCTGCTCAGTCTGTTTGACCTTAAAAACCCCGTGCCTGGCCTGCCCAGTGTCTTGGCTTTCACCGGTGCTAACCGAGATAAAGGCTGCTCACAGCTCCTCTGCTGGCATAACATAAATAACAACACAGCAGCTGTGACGGAGCACTCCGCCTCCCCCTCATGTTATTCTTATACACACAGGAGACTAAGGTGCTTTCAAAGTAATTCATTCATTCATCAGTGCAGTTGACTTTTTAAAATAAAAAGGATGTGGGCCATATGTTATTGAATAGGATGTTAATAACATACACTTTCAGGGGAGATATGACAGTAGGCTATGCAAACAGTGGACCCTACACAGGCGTGTGTACATCCCATATACATGTGTATCCCACAGTGGACAAGCGTGAGCATCCACAGATGGATAAAATCCGACTGGCACCCATGGTTCAAAAGTGAGGGTGTGGCGATAGGTTGAAGGGGAAAGAAACCTGAACAAGAGCCACGCTATATGGAAGTTAAATAACCTGTTTATTTAATTATGAATCACCAAAAATACAGTATGCTGTATTTTAAAAGAAAAATAATAATAAGTCGTGTTGAAATCAAACATTTTGATGCATTGGGATGCATCTGTAATTGTTTTATTATTGATTCGTTATTCTCTGAATCGTAATCAAATCGAATCATGAGGTGCCTGGAGATTCCCACCCCTTAATTTTTTCCTCTTGACAGAAGGAGAGCAAGTTAATGTCAGCTGTTAACTTGCAGCATTTGGGCCACCAGCTGCATTGAGTTTCATTTTGATGTGTTCAGGTTCTGCTGTGTGTCCAAATTAATATTTGGTTAGATACTTGAATAAATACAGTTGTTTGAAGGAGAAATGTGTTGATATTTTCACCAAATTATAAAACAGATATTGTAAAAAGGCTTTTGAAGTTGTTTTTTTAATATGTTTTTCATCTGAAATGTTCTTTAAACGTTATATGATTAAATTTGTGCTCATTTAAAGATGATGGAAGGAAGAACTGAATGAATTGTTATTTTTTTAATAATGAAGATTCCTTTGTTTAACTGGCACAAAGGAGGTAATAGATAACAACAAAAGCAAAGTAAACAACAACAACAAAAACATCAGTATCGGCTATCAGCCAAACTGTTATTTTAAACACTAGTATGGGTATTTGCCAAGAATTTAATTGGTGCGTTCCCACTATTTTGTAGCCTTTTTAATTGATCAAGTGTTTGATGTAGAGTATTATCCATAACTTGGGTTGTAGTTTGAGAAAAAGGTACACAGTGTGTGTGAGGTAGGGAAGATATTAAGGAAAGGAAAATGACTTTTTAATGCTGTTTTAAAGCTTTAGGATGTTGAAACACAGTTCCAGCTCTTTAGATACCTCTCGTATCGTTTCTCCATTCAGCCAGCCACTCTTTAAAGCACTCTACAAACAGACTGTCTAATGGCCTTTACTCTTCAAGTCTTTGTAGGAAGGTTACAAAACCAGGGTGCTCCACTTTTTATATGATTTCTTCCAAATTACCATAAGATTAGAATATTCTTTTATGTGGCCTCACATGAAAGAAAATATAAACGCCTGTACACAAATAATCATGCCTCGTCTCTGCTGAACTCAAACAGTCACACATGCGAACACACGCACACACATATGCTGCACTTGAACGAGGTGTGCTCCGAGTCACTTTGATGGAGAGTGAAAGCAAAGTAGCCTTGGCTGCTCATATTAAATAAGGTTTGTAGAAAGGTGTTGTACTCGCGAAATCAAGGCTTGCATAAATCTCTTGAGCCGCCAAGGCTGCAGAAACAGAGTGAATTAACTTTTTATCGTACTCAACAATCCTCCTTTTTTTTGTTGTTGTTGTAAGTAAGACCCAGCCTTTTGTGCGGTTTTGTTTTGTATGTCACCATGCACCCCTCAGGCCTGAATCACGTCCTTTTCAAGGCGTCACCGCATTCTGAAATCATGCTCCCACGATATCGCGGATATGAAGTACAGCGTCTACTTTGAAGACCTTGGAGTATCCATCAACAAGCCATCCAATTTCAGCAAATCCATTTCAACTCTCACATCTCACCAAATTCTCATTAGGTCTTTTTTTTGTCCTCAGCCTGTTATTGCAGTATTGATTTCCATTCCCGTTATGTCTTTTGGAAGATTACATTTTCATATAAGTAAAATGTCTACAAGGATTTCCACCAGAGATGACTGTATGAGCATGGATCACTGTACAGGCCAACTGATGCGTCCATTTTTTGATTCAGTTACATTTTGAGGTCATATTTTGGTTGTTTATGCATTTAAATCTGTTCATACATACATTACTTACACTACACAGTGATTGGTTTGGCTTGCTCAAGTATTATTTTTATTTCAAAGTAGCAATAAACAATGAAAATTAGCCTTAAACAATTTGACATTGGCATTAACTGGGCAAAATTGCATATCATTATGTGTAAATAATTCCAAAATCTGAGCTGTCAAATGCATGTTTGTAGTGTTACAGTTGGATAACATTAATGTGTGTGTGGTTAAGATGCCATCGTCTTATATTCTTTGTGTTTTTTTCAACAATATGAACATGCTTAGCATCGTACAATAGAGGAACAGCAAAATATTAGCATACCACTGATCTCTCTTTTCCATTTTGCTCTTTCCTGCTGTTGCCATCTCGCATTTGTTGATGCCTCTCTGTGTGCCTCCTCGAATCTGTCCCTCTGTCTATTTGACTATGTGTGTGCATAGTGTACCCAAATGATAATATAAAACGTGGAGAATGGACATCAAGTTCCACATGGTTTCTTGTTTGTCATGTTTACTCACTCTCTCTGTGTTTGTCTGTCTGTCTGCCCAGCTTTAAGGGACAACAGGATTGAGCTGGTGCGTGCGTCTTGGTCGGAGTTGACCATCAGTATCAGTGATGTCACACTGACGGATGAAGGCATGTACACCTGTTCTCTCTTCACCATGCCTGTCAGAACAGCCAAAGCCTACCTGACTGTTCTAGGTGAGTATCTGTTTCACATTAAGTATATTGAGTATTCCTGCTTAAAGGAAATGTTATTTTGTGAATGCATTACATAAGGTCAGTCTAATAATAACTTAATTTGTCGATGTGTACACCTTTCCTCAACCTCAGCCTTTCTTGTCTGGTTTACAAATGTTAAAGGTCCAGTGTGAAGGATTTAGGGGAATCTGTTGGTAGAAATGGAATATAATATCCATAACTATGTTTTCATTAGTTTATAATTGAGTTTATAATTTTTTTTTTTTTTTTTTTTTTTTGGTAGCTTAAAATGAGTCGTTGTTCTACAGTAGCCCACAACAGACAAATCAAATACTGGCTCCAGACACTCTAGACTCACGTTTTCACTTTAACCACCATAATTCTCCCACACACTTGGCACATGGATGGAGTTTTAATGGGTTGCAACCTGCATTGCCGCTAAATCCTACACACTAGACCTCTAAGGGGCCGTACAGATGCTGCATCTTTAACTGCCTGAAAAAAACACAAGGTCAGGCACTGGGCACTACTTTTGTGACTTTTCTGTGCCAGCTTTCAAGAGCACAGTGACATGATGCATCTGCAGTTGCTAAGCAACCTTGACAAGCACCATATCATAGCCTATTTAGCTAAAATCCTGAGTGCAGAGCTGATATTCTTCCAGGTGCTGTTTATAAGTGTGTTGGCCTATTGTCCATGGGACAGATGTAAAGCTCTGGCAGCCCTGCACCAAAATGATCAACTTTTCCATGTTTACCATAGACTGCTATTTACGGAAGAAGGGAAAGATATCTGTCGGCTGTGATTGGTTGTTCCTCGTCACATGACATGCGATGCACACTGCTGCGTTCCAGAAGTTTATCTCGGGGCACAACTGTCGTGCCCTGAAACATAGACGCTCTGGAACGCGTGCGCACCACGACGGCATCGCTCTGGCCTTTGAGCGTGCCTGCCATATGTCTATTTGAGGGTGTAAAAAACGCAGCATGTGCACAGCCCCTAAGACAATCTAGCATTTCCTAAAATTACTTCAAAGAACAGGTGATGCTTTCAGATGTGGAGCACATTTGTAGAGAGAGCAAAAGTGTTAGATTTACGAGAGGGAAAAAGCAATGAAAAAGTTGCACTCATCCACATTTTTGTGGCTGTGATGCATCATGGTCTATGTAAGCTATTACTTGTGGGAAAAAATGGTACCCTTTGCATCTTCTATACTAAAATCTCCCCATAGAACTGTTTAACACAAGAGAGGCTCTTGTTCTTTGGCTTGTAGGAGCTGACCAATAGACCTTTTGTTCCACAGCAGACATTCTGACATGTCAGAGTAGGAAAATTAATGATAGCTGTGTTAAGATTATAGCGGAGACCCTGATATTGTGTATGCTGGCTGACTGTAAAGCTTACTGGGACACTTAAAATGGGCAGACAACTTTCAACTTTTATCCACGTAGTGTTTTCAAGTGGTATTATTGTTGCTGCAGCTGTCACAAAGACAACTGGATCGCTTTTTCCTCAGAGCCTAGCACCAGGGTTCTTTTTCTGTTGCCAGATAAAGTTTCCTCAGTTACTTCATCCGAATGCCAGTTGCTGAGGATTGTAACTCCAAAGACCTTACACTGATACTTATTTGAAACTGGGGATAGCTAACAATAGCTACCAAGGAAAACAAAAGCACTGTTCTGTTCCTGTTTTGGTTGCACAGTGGTTGACATATTTTCTTTTTGCCACAAATCAAGTCTTCATTTTTCAGGGAAATCGCACCTGTTGGCAGACAGAATGGCATAGTAAAAGCAAAGCTTATAGGGAACCAGGTTAGATGGTGTCATTATTCTATAGCCATTGCATTGCACTCATAATGATAAGTTAAAGCAAAAAACTTGCCTATTTCCACTTTATTGGAACTGAGCCATTGTTAATGTCATCAATTTCACCTGCGCTTATTATACTATGACAAGTCAAAATGTCTGTCTATAGTATAGTGTGGTTAGAGTTAAAGTTTTAGGCCACAAAACATCACTAAATATAAGATGGGTATAAAAATGCACCATATAGTACGTTGCCAATAGTCGCAGTTTGTTAAAAACATGCTAAAAGGTTTCGATGAAATTAGGTGAAGAGTTAGGCCATGGGGCCGAGGGAAAAATTTGTGGTTTATTTGTGCAGATCCCATGTTATTTCAAAGATTTATTAATAAAACAACATTTAAAAAAGAACAACAATGCTGGTACTTGTATGCAACAATTCTATCATGTGTATTCTGTTTTGTGTAAGTGATAATTTAAAAACATTATTACTGAAACAGCACCTCCAGACAATTGTACAACCTTGGTGGAGGTTAAGCTTTGAGTGCTTTCTAGTTTCAGTTTAAACAATTTATGGCTTTGTTTTGTTTATTTCCTTTAAGACAAACAGAAATGAACATACTGACTATGGTTAAAAATAGCCTGTTGCTTATGCCAGCATCTGCAGACAAATAAAAACATACTGTTGAGCCCTGTAGTAATGTTTGTGCTGTGTGATCATCGCCCCACACAAACATTGTTTCATTTCCTGCCACTGGGCTTATTATCTTGCCAATTAGTTTTTGCTAATGCTAATAGATGTCCTAGTGCACTCCAGGACCATTAGCTGGTGCTCTGTGTTAACAAGCATTCAGAGAATTAGAGACATTAAAGGCTACTGCTCAATAAGGATATGGAGAAAATTATTTTTGCAATACTGAACAATAGTTAATGGTGCACGCCAGGAAGCAGAGAGGGAGATTTAATAAACATACCAAATGGTCTGGGAATGGCCTGGTTTATCTGCCACTGTTTCAGGACAGAGTGTGCTGGGAATGAAAACAAAAAAACATTAACAATGATTTGGACAAAATATCAAACTGTTAAATAAATGTGCAACAAAATGAGCTTCTGTTTCAGATCTTCTCGAAAATATTTTGGTGAATTAATACAAACATATGCTTATCTGTTAAAACAGTACAAATACAGTCATGCATAAATCACTACAATGAGTCAAACGTGAATTCCAGAGTATGAAAATAGTAATTGTATAAACAAAATGGTTGTGTTTTGGCTGATAAGATAGGTATCACGATACAGGGGTTAGGATTCAGTATATTGTGAAAATTGCAGTGTTTTTTAAATCTAAATTTACGAAAATTGTCAGTGCTAGTAGTGCACCCTTTATGTCTGTTTATGGCTTATGAAACTATGCCTGTTACATAGGCCCGTGTTCCTTGTGTTAACGCCAGTGATTTGTTGTAACATTGGAGTGGGAGAGTGAAATGTCTGAAGATAGAATATGACGCTGCCATGTAGCGTTTGAGAGTTTAAACACAAAATGAATCACTGCCACGAAACTTTGCATGTAAATTCTTAATTATTTAATTCCTGCTTAAAGGAAATATTTTGTGAATGCACTGTTACACAAGGTCAGTCTGTAATAACTTAATTTGTGTGCACAATTTGTGTGTATTTTGTGTGCACACCTCTCCTCAACCTCAACCTGTCCTGTCTGATTTTCAATATTTAAAGGTCCAGTGTGAAGGATTTAGAGGCATCTACTGGCAGAAATTATATATAATATTCATGATGATGATGCAGATGTCTGATATGCCGATATGTAACAACTCATTTGACCGATAACTGATACTGATATTGATGTATCCACTTTTTTTGCTACCTAATTTTAGTGATCATCAAGTCTCTATTGTAGTGGAATTAACATCATATTATGCATGCATACTCTTATCATGATGGCCTCCTGGCAGATGGAGACATGAAATACAATACTTTTCAATGTATTTAATATTCACTCATTGTGCAAAATAAGAAAAAGCATGTTGGCTGATTCTGATACTTCATTTTAAAGCCAATCTCAGCCGATACCGATGACATGCCAATATAATAATGTATCCCTATATATAATCACCAAAATATAAGAATCGTTGTCTTTTGTTACCTTAGAATGAGCCGTTTATGAGCCATGTTGTTGCTACAGTAGCCCAATATGGACAATCCAAGCAATGACTCTAGATAGGACCATTCGGGTTTAATTTTTTTATGCCGGCTACTGTAGTTCTCCTGCTCACTTTGCAAACAGGAGGAGTTTCAGTTGGTTGCAATCTTCAACCTCACCACTAGATGCCACTAAATCCCTCACACTGGACCTTAAAACACTTACTAGGGTCCGGGCAAACCCTATTGTTTTGCTGCATGTTCTTCTTCTTCTTCTTCTTCTTCTTCTTCTTCTTCTTCTTCTTCTTCTTCTTCTTCCGAGGAAATCATACTTCCCATGCACGAAAAATCACCAAACTTTGCACAAAGGTCCAGTCCCATGCCAGATTGCCTCAGCTGCAAAAACAGGCCAATAGTCCTGATGGTGGTGCTACAGCAAGCCTCTAAAGTTCAAAATTTTGAAAGTTCACAACAAATCAACCATATGTGCTACAGATTTGCAACTTTCACCAAAATGTAGCCCCAATACTGAAGAAACTTTTGTACATTTAAACCTATTGCAAATTATGAAGTCCATCACTCTGTTTTTTTCAAAAACTGTAAAACTTCTTAAACCTATCTCCTCCCACAATTTTTGCTCAATTGACACCAAACTTGCTACAGAACATCTTCTGTCCTATACAAACGATCCACACAGATTTTTGATTTATCGAAAATTGAGCCTACAGTGCATCAAAATGTTTGACTGTAAATGGTATTGTAAACATATACTTGCAAATTCTTGCTAAATACTTTTTCAATGTTCATTAAAAAAAATGACAAAATTTTGGAGTCATGGTAGATGATGTTTGGAAAATATCAGAATTTTATCTCAAAAACTGAATTTTTTACAGCATTTTGAATTTTGCTCTCATGCGAACAATTGGAGTCAATGCAAAAATGGCATTTTTAAACATCAGTTTTTCACTTATGGAGCCAATAAATCATTGTTAAAAACAAATTACCAACATCTCCATGCTGTCTAGATGCAATTTGTGTATTTTCGGATTTTTGTCTTAATAACTGAATTTTTGACAGCCATTTGAAATCTGCCTTTACACACTAACAGCTGCTGTCTTGCACACAGGTGACTGGCTTAGTCAATTTGTGAAGCTACATGTGACATTTCTGTTTGCCAATTAGTTCAGTGAGATAGAGGATGGCTCTAGGTGTTGAAGATTGTGAGTTCAAGTCTCAGCTAAGGCAGAACGGACATTCTAATGTGAAAGTCCTATGTTCAGGCATCATGCTATGTGGATTAGAGACTACTAAGGTTAAAATAATTATGATCCAGGCTGTTTCGCAGAGAGACAAATACTCTTTATCAACACTTTCCCCTCTTATTCCTTGTCTCTTTTCCCTGTTTATTTGGCTTAGCTATCAGTCAATATGCAGAGTCTATCCAATAGCTACTTTTACATTTTAAAAAAATGTTTTCATCTTTGTCACCATGGATAATGTTTAGCTTTAAGCTAAATCAGGCCAGTTTGTTCATAATTGCTAGCAGTTAATGTTATTCTTACTTTCTTGTTCTTGAGTTTTTTCTTTCCTTATCCTTATATTATGAGTCTGATCACTTCAGCCACTCATCCACAATTTGAAGGGCATGCCATAATTATATGATGTAACTTCTATGTTGTGTGTGTTGCTCAGAATTGCCTATTTTTGCCTAAAATTGCCCAGCCCCGACCATTGCTGCGCAGCAGCTATAATTGACAGTGTTTTTGAGAATTGATACAGTATCACAATACATAATATCAAGTATATATACTGAAGTTTATCGATATGTTCACACACCCCTAATGATCATCAACAAGACTAACAGTCTACAGCCATGCCAGCGTCTCTGTCGGCATGTCGGTGCTTTAAGCAGAATGCTCAAAGCACAAACATTAGGATGAGAACACACTCATAATGACTACACTAACAGGATAAAGTTTAGCATGTAATATGTTTATCACATTCACCATCTTAGTCTAGCGTGTTAGCTTTCCAGCATGTGCTAATTGAACTAAACATTAAGTACAGCATTTTTGCAGTTATTAAACAAATGACTGGACAAATAAGAAATTTGACCTGGTTGTGGGGCAAGATAAATGTCAACCTCATGGTGGCATTAGAGGAAAAGTCAGGGAATCACCAGAGACATTAGGATTCATCAACTGGAAGTTATGAATGCTGGTACAAAATTTCACATGGTGGATTAACTGACAGATGGACATTGCCATCTGAAGAGCGATGCCACCAGCTTGGCTAAAAATGCACAACACAACAGGCTCAGCATTCAGTTATTTTTAATAATAGTAACTGATTTTAAATTTTGGTTCTGAATAACTTCCAATAGAAATGACCTCCTGAACTTTGTATGAGATACATCCATATAAAGTATGTAGAATAAGAGAAGGCATTGTGATAAAATCTGGCCACAGGAACTATCAGTGAAATCCACTTTTCTCTTTTTTTCACCTCGCATCAGAAATCCAGTCTTGAAAATACTGTTTGTCATGCTGAAACAGTCGTGCATACACACACAAATACACCACAGCACGTTTAAATCCATGACGCACAAACGAACAGAGAAACACAAGCACCCACAAAGCTCTATACTCACACACACACATGCACACACAAACGGAGAGAGAAGGATTAGCAGCCTCTAGCCACCCGAGGGGAACGTGACTGTATAAGATGAACATTGTATTTGATCTGTTCTCGTGCAGTCTTGGAGAAAAAACATCAAATACTCTTCTGAGTCGAGTCACAGCTACTCATTCACATACTTATGCAGCACAGTGCTTAGTTAGATACAGTGACACTTCACACACTTGTAAAGCATTGAGGAAATTTGCATAGGAAAACGTATAGCGTTTAGTAAGATGAGGAGGGATAGATCTCACTGCATACTGTATCCTCCAGCAGCGGCCATTGTTTGGATTGTGTGTGAAGTTTATTCCTTCAAGAGGATTTTAAAAAGAAAACAGCAGGACCTTTAAATCTGGTAATAAACCTTACAAGAGGTGGTGAGACGGATGAGGCCATAGTCAGTCAATGGCATTGACTGACAGACCTTTCAGTCACTCAGCCTGAGGCAGACTTATTGCTCATCGACATTAGAAGGGCAGACTCTGCACACTTAAAAAACACTCATTATAGGAAAGGCCAGTAATTAACATTTGCTATACAACCTCCTGGCCTCCTCTGTGGTCAGAAGCCTTTGCTTACCCACATTTACAAACACAAAAACATAGTTTTTAATTCCACCTTCTGATATTTAGCCATGATGATATAATAAAGTTGGGAGAAAATACTTCCAGTGAAAACTATTCTCTTCTACAGACAGATATCACAACGTGGCCAAAGAACATTTAAACTATCTACAAAGCAAGATACCACTAGATAGATGTATGTGAGAAAATATGTTCCTCTGTAATTTGAGTAAACCGACCCTTAAGCATGAGGATGGTCTAACAGTGATAGAGACCGTCCATCGCTGTGTCAGCTAGACTCCTCCCCAATGCGTTCTCAAGCAGGACTCTGCTCGGGTATGCTGCTCTGTAGTCTGCCCTCTAATCTCCCCGCAGGAGCGCGAACTGGAGGAGAATTTCCATTAAGGCATAACAATATTATTGTTACATAATGACACACCGCTGTGTGTGAATTACTTCCATCGCTGTGAATTCCTGTTCTGTCCTTCAGGTGTGCCGGAGAAGCCAGAGATCGATGGCCTGACGAAGCCTGCCATGGAGGGAGACCACATCACTCTGACCTGCATGACTCAGGGCAGCAAGCCTGCCGCTGACCTGCGCTGGTTCAGAAATGAAAAAGAGGTCAAAGGTGGGTAAAATCTGTATCTGTATGTACATCTGAATCACTGCTATGGGTACACAAACACAGTGTGCATAATGCATAGACTGCATACAAATAATGGACGTAGCAACTGTAATGTCAACCATTGGTTTGTGGACTCCCATTTTAAAGCCTGGTATTGAGCAGTATGGCCGTAACCTTGTTGGATTCTTGAAACCAGAGGTCACCTGAGGTGACTCACTCAGTGTCACTCAAAGCGGGCATGCCCTTAACTTAGCTTGGATTACAACACACACAGAGGGAGCGTGACTTTATTCTCTGTTCAGAGCCAAGTGGCCATTTAAGGAACTGCAGTTCTTGGCACTTTCATGTTGGCTTCATTTTTTAGCCCTTGATGTTGCTACTTGGTGTGATGTCATACAGACAGTATATCTGGGGTTTCACCTTTGCTTCTTTAAAAACATTACATGTAGATTCTTAGAGACAATCAATCAATCAAACATGTTACTCCTTATTTGGACTACATATTTGTTATCGTTAGCATTTTTCTCAATGAAGCCACTTAATTACTTTCTATAGTTTTAAAAAGATGAAATTTATCATTGTGTGTGATCATCTGTAATGTTGCTAAAATGATAATTAGGCTTTACAGATCGACCAGTATTTCCAAGCTATAGTTTCCTTTTGACTTCTCAATTAGGCCCACAATTTTGTAGAGTCATTCCCAAACTCCACGGTGTTGTCAGACACTAAAAAATATTGATTATCACATTTCAGTGTGGCTCAGACCGTGTGTTGTAATAAACAAACAGAGCACAAGTGTGCCAGAAAATATGAATCTGCGTATTACAATACTTTGAAAATGGGCAGAAAGTCTTTTTCATAAAACCAACACCATGAAACTGCTGCAGCTGATGTCTCTACGGTGTATTTTTGTTCCGAACAAGTTGTTTCTAATAGAGCAGATTCAGCATGTGTCCTCTGGCCTGAGACCGATACATTAACCTCCCTTGTTATCAGAGGGCTGTTCTAAATCACAGTGACTGGACTACACACCTCATTTCCACCCTGCTCCTGCTCTGTTCTACTTGATGAACCATCCGCTTTGTAATTGTTTGAACGGGAGAGCAAGAGAGAGAGGGAGAGAATGAGAGAGAATATTAAAGAAAAGAGAGCTAGGGACATGAAATGATGAAACAAGGAAGAGAGAAACAGATGCAGTTCTGTATCAAATAAAATGCAGAACCCAGAGGGACAGACTGTCACAGATCATCCGCACTGTTGCAGAACTTTTTTACGAAGGCGTCTATGCTCTTTTACAAAGTAGATTAAAGGCAGATAACAAAATGCAAATCACCCCTTTCTAATTTAAATGACTGCAAGTGTAAACAAAGAGATTGAGACGATTGAGAATCACAGGTTTTCTTCTTTTATATTAGAACTGCCAAAAAAACAATGCAGGTTTGGAAAGACACTGTCAGAATCTTTGTGTAACCCAGCAGATCACTAAAACTCAGTAGTGAGAATAACAAGTAGCCAGGTGTTGCACATCTTAAACGCCCAATTAAATGTAGAAAATTTTCAACTTAAATTGCATTTTGGATGCAGAACACACAACACTTCACAGAATTTATTTCACTGCTTTAACAAAAGATTAATAAACCACAAAAATCTTTTTTGTGTGCCAAAGCATGCAACGCTTTTGCTTATTAACTTTGCATAGTAATACCTTCTCTTTGAGCTATCAGGTATTTTTGGGGCTTCTTTGCTGTCACAACAGTGACTGGGTCTGTCTTCTATTGAGCGCCTGTTTCTTCCTATTTTTCAATGACTGTACAAGCAATATAATACAAGTTTGCAATACAAGTTTCTAATACACACACCTAATAGGGTATCTTTTCAAACTGGACCCAATTTTTCCATGTTTTTGTGTCAAAGTGACTCATGGGAACAACCATTTTTGAAATTGATCCAATATTGAGCAAAAGGGCTACAGTGGAGCTACTTGTGGCGTATGTATTTTTTTTTGCCACCGATAGGCTCAGATTGTCATTATAGCTGTGTGGCAACATAAAGGAAAGGATCCCTACATGGTTAGACCCTTTTGTTTAAAGATAAGATCCTTTTTGTTTAACTAGAAACAGCCCTGAAATCGCTATATCCAAAGCCACCAGACTCCATTTAAATAAGCAGTAATTTTATTATCATAAAACACACTTAATTCCAAGTCGACAAAAACAAAATAAAACTCGCAAGTGTCATCTTGGTTTGTCTTTCCACTGTTCTAAAAATCACCTACTATAGTTTGGTTGAAATAAACCCTTAGTTCACACGGTTAGTTGTGAAAATATGCTGACTCTATACATGCTAAAATTGTTGTTTTTTCAAATGTAGTTTGGTGGCTTTGGTGAAAGTGAAATGAAGGCTACATCCTGACTGAATCAGGATGTTATCTGTTAATAGTCATCTTATGCGTATGCTTATTGACACTGACAAAACCTCACAGTTGTTACTGGAACCTCAATCAATAGTATGAAAGGGAATGCTTGATACTCCTTATAACCATTATCGCACTTTCATAAACAGTAATCGTATTAGTCTTTTACTCATTAAATGCTGGTAATGGGTAGATCCCCAAGTCGCATATTGTTTTTTACATTTTCTAATCTAACTAATCACCATGTTTTAGTGATGTATTACAGTAGTTTGTCACTCAACTTTATACTTCCTCTTATCACCCTTCTGAGGAACATGAAGCTTATAGAGGCAGAATATACACTAATTAGCAGCACGAGTATTTTTCCTTACAGGCTTATTGTGTCTCTGCGGGTGATTATTGCTTCTCCCAGTTGGCCCACTACTGAAAGAAGAACTCCCTGTAAGGCAAATGGAAACATAGCCAGGACTTAACATTCTTTTAATTTACCACGGGAAGTTAACAGGTAGTCAGAGATATCCTTGGTGGTTTGAAGTGAAGGTAGTCTCAGGAGGATACGCCTTCTCATTAAGGTCAGATGCTATAATTCTCTTCCCTCATCTTGGCACACTCCTCCCTTTAATTTGGGTCTTGCACAGTTTTATATCAGTATATTATTCACTGTGACAAGGTTGTAGCTCTTTGCCCGGAAAGGACACGAATAGTGTGTTCAGGATCACCTTTCTGTGTAAATGTAATCTGTACTGCATATTCCCTAAACACTTAACATTGTCGAAACTTATAGTATAGGAGCCAGTTTGTATGTATATATGAGGGTTACTGTGCAGTATGGAAATGTATTAAATTTGTTTTTAGTAATTTCAGGTCTGGATAAGAATGGTTAAAAGAAAAGATAGTTTGGAAAATATTTGTGATTGCCCCAATCTGTTTCTTAAAATATAAAATTAGTGAGCTTGATATCATCGAAAACAAGACAAGAGGTATGACATGCAACTAAACACGTAGAGCTTCCTCTATGCCTGTGCTTCACAGTCAGCTCTGCCCAAAATGCCTAAAAATTAAACCAAATACAGACATTCTCACTGAATTACTTTGAAAGAAAATGTGGCAATGTCTTTGAATTGCGTAAAAACATACTATCATAGATAACCAGATATTCTACTTATGCAGTGATGTAGTCATCAGAGAAGTAAACGGACTATCTTTTCTGTGTAAGATAACCACACCTTTGTGGCTGCGTTCATCATTGTTTCCATAGACGTGGGGTTCCCAACTGCTGAGTTGCGGTCCAAAAGTGGGTCACAGGTCCGTGCTGAATGGACCACAGGCTATCGATGCGGAAGGGCCTAAAATGCTGGAGTAGAGCTTAGTTTCAAGTCTATGCCACCTTCCTATCAAAAGTTATTCGCGATCATACCTTCCTGTATCTAGACCTGACTCCTCGAATGTTGAGTTCACCCACTTTCAGTCATCCTAGAAGGTCGGGGGTGGGCTCTATCGATGCGGAAGGGTCCAAAATGGGGGAGTAGAGCTTAATTTCAAGTCTATACCACCTTCCTATCAAACGTTATTCATGACCATACCTTCCCGTTTGTGGACCTGACTCCTCGACTTTAAGTTTTAGTTCAGTGAATTTCTGGAACAAAGCTTTTACTATGAAGTGCTGTTTCCTGCTGTAGAGTGAGTGACTAATAGACAGCTACTTGACAAAGACAGCAAACTAGCTCGATGACATGGCAAAACGCAAGTATGACACTGAATTTATTAAACTGTGTGGACCTTGAGCTAATGACGAAGGAGAAATCTGGACCCCGTGGCTGGACCAGTTGGGAACCACTATAATAGACAATTAACAAGGCTGCACAGATGCTATTAAAATAAAATTATTTAACTTTTTTTCAGCTCATATTCCATTCTTAGTTATAAAAGAGACTAAACAAATATAAGGGAAAATAATATGACTATAGGTACGACAGTTTACCTCTTCTCAGACGTCCAACTTTCTGCGCAGGAGTGTGGACTGAATGGTCACAATAGTAATGGATAAATGGATGTCTTCCAAGGGCTAGCTATTTGTACTTAGATGTCAAATATGTTTTGCAAAATCTACAGAGAAGTCTAGAAAAGTGTAAATGGAAAATGTGTAGAAACTCTAATATATAATGATCATCATTTTTCTCTTTAGTAAATCTTAGTAAATCCTGGTAACATTGTCCCAAAACAGAGCAGAACCTTGAGACTTTATCCAAATGTCGGATTAGAAGATCCTTGTCACATCTGCTATTGGACTCGTCAAGAATTTTGATCAGAGGCGACGTTTTTGTCCCTCGCTGAATTCACTGAAAAGCTCTCTCTGTGTCTGCCATTACACCCTTTCTACCCCGGCTTAAGCCCAGACAGCTCAGCCTGCTATCTGGCATTAGGGTCTCCCAGGGTCCAGATAAGCAAGCAGATAAGTCCAAATCAATGCTGGTTTTGCACACAATTTTAAGCACATATCATGGTAACTTTCCATTTAATTAACCAGAGTTGGAAGATGATATTGAATCTGTGTCATCAGGTCTATTCAGAACATCTTCTGAGCTTAAAA